AAAAAAACCCATCCCCACAAAACTCCAAAAGGAAAAAGAAAAAAAAATAGAGGGAAAACAATAGTGTGTCAAAAAAGAAAAAGTCATACAATCCAGAATATCTTGAAAGTTGATCCTAGAATAAGTCTATTTTCTAAATTTCTATCTCAACCAAACAAACAAGGGTTAAACAACGTTTTATGTGTTATTTGTACATTATAGCTCTTTATAATTTTTAAATTAAGACCAAAATTATTGTGGAGGTAATAAGGACCTTTCATCAATATTAATAAGAAATTTCAAATTTAAGCACTAGAAATACCTTCGAATTTAAGCACTAGACTTATTCGATGTGTATTTGAATTAGTCGAATCCCAAAATAACTAATAACCTATTTGGTCAAGTTTTTTTTTTTTTTTTTTTTTTTTTTTTTTTTTTTTGTAATTAAATGAGTTTTATTAATCATCAAGTGAATCATTATAAAATCATACCTGACTTTAAACTCAGTCAGATATCTCTGTACTGTAATTGTCTCTCCCTATACATAAATTAAATCCCTCACCTCACCTTTTAACTATTAAGTCAACTAACACTAACAACTATTCAAAATTTTAACTGTTGCAGTAGTCTCCTAGTTCCGGCATTAGCTCTAACATTACATACACATGCTATAGTTCTTGCCATTTCATCAACATTTCTTTTGGCCTTCTCAAACACTCGATTGTTTCTTTCACACCATATCATGCGGATTATCTCGACATATATCATGTTGAATGTAACAGCTACTTGAGATTTGCCTTTAGCTTTCTTCATTGCCCATCTCCAATCCTGATTCCATGATTTCAGACCATGTGGTTGCATCCGAAGCCACATTAGGACCCTGTTCCATATCCTTTGAGCAAATGTTTGGTCAAGTTTCTTTTGGCTAGAAGTGTCTTTTTTATTACTAAATGTATTTTTTCCAAAATTAAGATGTTTGACCAAACTTTTAAAAGGAAAAAGTTAGAAGCAAAAGTAATTTTTGAGAAAAAATATTTTTCTTCAAAAATATTATTTTGAAAAGAAATTTTGAGAAAAATAAATTTAGAAATATTTTTTAAAACTTTAGTCAAATAATAATTGCTACTCAAAAATATTTTTCTAATTAAATAGCCAAACATATAGTCATATATTACTTTTCAACAAATGTATTTTTTTAAAAGCATTTCTCGAAATAAAGTAAATTAAAAACGACTGTCCTCATGTCGTTGTATCATTCGTCAAACACTAGGGTTCACTTTTTTATTTTTCTCTTAGTCGTGACATTATTTTTTTATTAAAGTATTTTCCTCAGAAGATCTTATAAAATTAAATTAATTAAATAAAGAAATGCTACTAGGTGTATTAATTAATTTGTCTAATTGTGTTAATTTCTAAGCAACTCTTAATTAAAATTAAAACATACATGTATGCTTCTTGTTCTTCTTTCTTACACCTTTCTCTTTTGGGGGTTTCTTCCTTTTCACAGAATCTGAATATTACTCTCTTTTTCATCTGTCTAAATCCCCCTTTCTCTTATTATATCTGATAGATACCTACGTATCTAAAAAACATCACTCTCTCTGTCTTTCCCAATTTGACGATAAATTTAGGTAACAATTTATTCTTCATTTCCTCATTTTGTGTGATATTTTTATGTGGAAATCTCTTGATTTTTGATTTTTTTGATGTTTACATCTTGTTTCCTAATTTAGTAATTCATTTTTATTTTTTGCCTCATGGTTTGATTTGGATTGTTAAATGATTTTTGGTTAAACCCAAGTTGTTCATATTTATAGGGCTTTTGCTTAGGATATTTTGAAATTTAGTGGCTATTTGGTGAAAAGCTTTGATCTTTTTTTACCTTTACTAAGAAATTAGTTCACAGAAGTAGTCTACTTTATGTGACTTTTTGAGCTTGGATATACTTATAATTGTTGTACGGATTTGGTTCTTCGATTGATCAGAAGTTGAACAGGAGCTATATGTTAAAGACTGGACTAAAGTAATTTGTGATTAGTCCTGAGTGCAACTTTTATGATCTATAGTATGATAAAGATCTTCTTTTTTTTTAAAAAGAAAATTGTTTTGATGTAGCAATTACTGTAGTTATATGCTTTCTAGCTGCTGGGTTGCTATGAAGTATTTGTCAATTTTATGTTAACATTTGGTAAATAAATTTGCTGTTGTTTTAATGATAAATAGTCATATTTTGATTAAAAGGAATAAAATGAATAATCAAGGACGATCATACTACTCATTTACTTTTAACTTCTTGATGCCTCAGCAGAATTTTAACTTGGACTTGGATTTTCTTTTAATAAAAAAAGAGAACAATTTAAAGTTATCAAATGAAGAAAAAGAAACTATTGTTCCCCTTGATAGAGGCAGATGTTGGTGAAACTTGAAATAACTTAGACTGGTTGGATTGTTACTTTATTTGGTTTTCGATGTAGCGGGCTTTGACATGCAATCTGCACCAAAATACAAGCATTTCTAGTTTATATTATTGAAATCACATCCTCTGATTTTATTTGTAGGAGAGAGTAGCTTTGAGAATGGAGAAAATTGAAGAGTCTGGTAGCCCAGGTTGGGGTGCATCGTTTTTTCAAACAACGGAAGATGTTGCAAGAGCTGTTACTGCTGCTGCAGCTGCTGTTCGGTCACCACGACCTTCCGTGGTATATTCATCTAAAGATGATAGTGGTAGCCAGCTTCAGAAACTTCAGCGTCAAGTATCTAGATTAATGAAAGGCTTATCCAGTCCCCCTCAAGTTAAAAGTGGGGCCTATAACCCGGAAATACTGACTAGCCAAAAGCGTCAGTGGGCTAGGTTTCAGTTGCAATCCCTGGTATGCTGTATGCCTTACCCTTGAGCTTTTTGCTGTATGCTAAATTGCATGAAATTAAGTTATCCATTTAAAGTTCCCCACAAGATCTAACTCTGGTTTTAGTTGCATTTGCTCCAAATGCTACTTCGTTCCTATTATTCTTACAAATTAAATACTATTCCCTCTTTTTCAATTTATGTGGCACTTTTCGCTTTCCGAGATTCAAACTATGTAAATTTTGACCAACCAACATTTTAAGATGTATTTTTTCATGAGAAGAATTGCAACTTATAGTACTTTTTATATAGTTTTTGAATATCTAAATTTTTATTGTAAAATATTAAGTTAATCTAATCCAGTTTATCTCAAAAAACTAGTCAAATTGACTCTTGATAAGCGAAAAGTGCCACATTAATTGGGACGGAGGGAGTAATTCCAGCCTAAAATTTTGATGATGGCGAATGATAGATGTTAAACTCCTGGTTTTCAATTTATACTACGAGGACAAAGTTCTTTTGGTTTTGTTAGATAATTATATTATGTAAGCTTGCAGGATCATAGAGTTTGGAAAGAGCCGTCAAGGCTTTTTGAGAGCATGGTAGTTGTTGGACTCCATCCTAACTGTGATATTCAAGCACTTCAAAGGCTTTATTTTTCAAGAAAGCTAGACGCCCCAGGGAGATTTAGAAGCGCACTCGGTGGTCAAAGTCAATCACGTGTGGAACCTAACCTTGAGCCTCAGGTGTTGAATCTCTTAGGGGTTTAATTTGCATAGACATAGAACCATATAATTATTATGGACTATAAGATGTTATTACTTCTTTGTGTTTCAGGTCTTGTTTGTTTACCCTCCAGAGAAGCAACTCCCACTAAAATACAAGGATCTTCTCTCATTCTGCTTTCCCGCTGGAGTAGAGGTTGGGTTATCCCTATCAAGCCCCTTTCCCCTTTTATTTGGCGTATAATATATGATGGTTTCGTGGAATTTTTGGGGTAGTTTCCTTTGTATTGTTGATATATAGGGGAGATTTAGTTTGCAATATTTCAAGCGTTCAACATGGTTGCAGTTGGTCAACTTCTGTAAAGAATTAAGAGTTATAGGTGTAGAAAGCAAAAAACTTTTTTTGAAGCATCCAACATATTATAGGTGATGGATCACGCATCTTGCAATTACATTTACCTGTTCCTACCTGAGGTAAAAAAACAAAGAAAAATAAACATAAAAAAGGACTAGTTGATTTAAGATAAAGTCATAAAACAAACTAAGTGAGCATCAATCTCCTTTCCTTGCGGGAGGAAAAAAAGGATAAAATTAAATATGGCTTGAACTTGGAATGTAATGTATTTTAGACCAGGTAAAACAATAATGTCTTTTCTATTGCATCTCTACCTTATATTTTCAGCCATACTTGTAGTTGATCTTTTCTGACAGTTCAATAATGGTGCATCTGATTACAGGTTCATGCTGTTGAGAGAACTCCATCAATGAGTGAGTTAAATGAAATACTTCTGGGTCAGGTAGTGATGCTTCCTTTCAATAATAAGCTCCGAAGTGATAATTAAGAACACATTTCTGTAAGAAAAGGCAAACTGTAGTGGGATTTACTGCAAAGCAGCTGATAAAAATACTCTGTCAAAGGCTTAATACGTTATTTGACAATTAGATATTCATAGGAGAATGACTGAAGGCTTTATGCAGGCACAAAGACTTTTTTTCAGAGACTTTTTAAGCATATATGCATTTTTGCAGTGGATACTCTGAACTAGAAGAATCTGGATGTTCTAGGTTCCATTGATGGACTATATTTCTGTGGGTTCTATACTTTTACTAGATTTAGGCTTCTTGTAGAAACAAGGATGTGTAAATTAATGGACTACTATCTGCTATTTGGCGTATTTTCAAATATTTAGTGACCAGTAAAACAAAAAAAATGCTTAAATGAACATGTTACTCCTCCAAATGATTTCCTGAGCTGGAGTAGTGTAGTGCCCTTTTAAAAGAAGTATTCTTTCCATCCAAAGAGAATATAGTTATAATATTGAGGAAACTACTATTCTGTCCCGTTGTTTGTTTTCCATTAGAAACTGAAATATTTATCTGTTCTTTTGCCATCTGTCTGATAATTATCAACCTAGCTTCAGTGTTTTTGGCATGCAAATTTGGTTTTGTGGTGTAATACAAAGCTTATTGCATTCAGATATACGTGTTAATGTGCTGCTACTTTTCCAGGAACACCTTAAACAAAGTGATCTATCTTTTGTGTTCCGGCTTCAGGTATCTCGTCTGACATTCTTTTTTGTAATCGAGCATAACATTAAGTTGTACATGGAACTGTTTATAGATTTAATTTTCTATCTACACCATTATTCTTAAACGTTATTAAATTACACAACTTTTCGGCTGTTTTGGTCTCCTTAGTAGTCTGGTTTTTATTCTTAAACAGGTTCCTGTAGGTATGTACATTTAGAATAGTGCAACACACTTGAAAATACAACAGTGAGATGAAGTGCCTTACACTTTCAGCTGTAGACTTTCGATTTATAACCAACATTTAATAGCTCTTTCTTTGAATTAAACAACAGTAAGAAGTGGCTTCCAGCTTTCATTTCTACTCTGTGCATAGATGTGCCAGCTTTGGCTTTATGAATAGGACAATTTTGTTTACTTTTTCTGCTCCCTATCTCATCCTAAGGTAAAAGGATAAAAGCAATTAGACAAAAGAATTGGTGGCTGATGAATTGGAGTATGTATTTTAACTCTAAGTTTCTTGATGTAGGTTGCTGATAGTTCAACTCTGTACGGTTGCTGTGTTCTAGTTGAGGAAATGGTCCATAAACCCTCTGGATTGCTTTCCATGATTTCAGATGGACAACATACCCACTTGGGTATTAGCCGCCAAATTTTAACGACACGCCGCTGTTATTGCATTCTTTCCAGACTTCCATTTTTCGATCTTCACTTTGGTGTATTAAATAGGTTTGTTTCTCTTTCGATTGAATTTTCTAGCTTGTCCAGATGCTTGCTGTTGTTCTTAAACTTCAGAGATTCTTCGCAAGTAATTGCTGTTGTTGCTCTGTTGCTAGTGCCTACTGAAGTACTGTTATTTCTCCCTTTTCTAGCATTTTCACTGAAGAAAGATTGGAGCGGTTAACAAAACAAGTTGGTGATCTTGATTTTGATTCCCTTATGATTGATGATAAGCAAGAAAATCTGGAAGAAAATCCTTCCAGCAGATCATTGGAAGAAAGAGATCAGTACATCCTGAATGGCTCTGTAGAAAGCTCCCAACCAATCACGACTGATTCTGTGATTAGTGGAACTGTTGATGACATGTCTCAGCTGGAGTATAGAGTTGTAGAAGGGTACGTACACCCAAAGAAAGATGGAAGTGATAACAAGGCGCATATGGTTGATACTGACATAGATTGTGCTAATAAAGAAGTTATACTTGAAAGGCAAGTCCCTGAAGCTTCTGATAATTCCACTGATGATAACAAACAATTGGTAGAAAAGGGTGTACCGCATGCTGTTTTGCCACTTTTAAGATATCATCAGTGCGAAAGTTCTGAATCTTCGTCTAGGTATATTACTTCCTCTATTAGCTTCTTCGTACAATCTTTTCTTTATGATCTGTCTCATAAATTTGTGTCCCTTTTTTTGCTTTGTGATATATCTATCATATCCAATATATTGAGAGAACATCGCCTCTATGAAGTGCTTTTAATTTTGGATTACAGCTTCCAGGGCTCTCCTAGTGAAGATAGACATTTTAGAAGTGATTTTGATGAGACCGAAACGGAGGAAGCATCCTTTTCTGGTCAAGATGATTCAAGTCAGCATAGTGATATAGTAGAATGGGCAAAGGTTTGAATCTTACTTAGCATAGGCCCAGTATTTTTTCAAGCTCTGGGTTGTAATTAGTGGGTTATTCAGGTCTTCGCTGATCCCTTCATTCTCCTTCACTTTGTAGGCCAACAATAATGGATCTTTGCAAATAATATGTGAATATTACCAGCTAAAATGTCCTGCAAGGGGCTCAACAATTAAGTTCCATCCTCTGGATCACCTTCATCCTTTAGAATACCATAGACCTGACGAAGCACTTTTGCACGTTGCTGGATCGACAATTGACTTAAAATCATGCAATACAAGTTTGGAGTTAGCTGAGGTAAATTCTTTTTATAGCAATTGCTGGTAAAAAACATAACATCTCTCCCTCTCACCCCCTCTCTTTAATTCACTCTTCAATGATAAATATATACATAGCGATAGTTGGGTAATGTATCCAGCTAGCTACACCTTTCAATTGATGATATTCCATGTATTATCAGCTTATGTTAATTTGGTTTTGATAATACAGGCTCACAATGCACTCATGGTGGAAGAGGAAGCAACTGCTCTGTCAGTCTGGGCTATTGCATGCTTATGTGGCTCATTGCGGCTTGAACACGTGCGTGGCTATACAACCCGAATATAAGTGACAAGTGTTACTATAAAACCTTTTGACCTTTATCAGATATGATTGCCTCTTTGTCATCAAATTTCTTATAGAGAAATGCAATGCCAGATGGGTTAATGTCATCCACTTTAGCTGTTGCAACAAGAAAGTTCTGAATTAAAGAGAAAATGTATGCATGATTTCATTCTTTGTAGGGACAGGAACTTGTACGCGATGCTCCAACTTTGAATCAATGTAATGGGTTTGAAGTGGAAAACCTCTTAAGAAAACTGGCTCCCAGCTACAAACTTACTAGAATACGATTGAAATAATACTTAACATGTTAAAAGGGTAAAATGACTTATTCCCTGTTGATTGCCAAATGGGCTCTCCCATTATTCTTTAAAACATGGAACACATGTTTGTTTTCTTTGTCATTTTTAAAAATTAATTATTTGTATTAATATTGTCCTATTTCTGAGCTGCTATGATAGCATACCTCTTGCGGAGGCCTCCACTTTTATTTATTTATTTTTTGTTTTTGCATCGATTGCTTAAAAATGAAAATAGAAGGTTAAGGGAAAGCATGATTTTTCTTATCAACAGAATGGGAGATGGGTTTAATTTTTTGGATTTTTAGATAATTGCTCAAGCTCTATACAGTATTGGTTTTTTGGATTTTTAGATAATCAAATCATTCACACTCCTATATCTAAGTTATCCTTAAGTCTATTTAATCTCTCGATGTCTGACTATGAAGATTCTCGCATGCTTGTCAAAGTCTTTTGACATTATTGTTCCGACTTGCATCTTATAGGTTCTGACACTGTTTGCGGGAGCTTTACTGGAGAAGCAAATTGTTGTGGTTTGTTCAAATTTGGTACGTATCAGTTGGCGGCATCTTTTGTATGGTATGATTCTGTCAGGTTTGGCATCATATGAGTGCTGTTTTGACTTCAAATTCTAAATGTTTTCTTGATTAGTTTGTTCTGCCTAGGCAGCACACTTTTTATTAATTTGAAGATTGATTTGGTCTTTCAAATACATGTAACATGTTAGGTGAAGACCTTCTTTCTACATCCACAATTTTCCTTAGAATTGGCATGCTCGTTAGAACTGATATTCTAGGGAAGCCCTAAATATTTGATGCAGAATCTAATTTGAGTTACTTAATTGCAGGGAATATTGTCTGCTTGCGTTCTGTCCATTATCCCTTTGATTCGTCCTTATCAGTGGCAAAGCTTGATAATGCCGGTAACTTATAGTTGGCGATGAATTTTTTCCTCAAGGAACAGATCCATTGTGTTTCCTGATTTATCTAACATTCTTGACGCGCGAATTGCCCAGGTTTTGCCAAATGACATGCTGGATTTTCTTGATGCACCCGTTCCCTATATAGTGAGTATACCCATGTCTTAGGCTTTTCCTTGTCTTTCATAATTGGCTCCCAAAGATATGTGCAAGTAAAAAGGTTTTCTTGGAAGTTAGATGAGGCCATTCTTAAAACAATTGGAGTACTTGAATGAGGGGCTTGTTTCATTGCGAGCAGAAGTCGATGGTTTTGTAAATGCTCTCGTTGCCAATGATGAATGTTTTCTTCACTATCTTGTATATCTTGTGCCATGACATCGTTTTTCCTGCCTTTTCTTCTTAGATATCTTGCATTATTGGGAAATCATTCAGTATGTTTTCTTCCTGTATTAGCTGATCTTGTTCTGAGAATGTAATTTGTTTTTTTGATTGTTTATTTCTTAGGTCACAAGGGATTGTTTATGGTGAATTTACTTATATTTTGTTTCTTTATTTTTTTCTTCTTATCTTTGAGTAGATCGGTGTGAAGAACAAAACCTCTGAGGTTCAGTCAAAGTTAACAAATATCGTCCTTGTAGATGCTAACAAGAACCAGGTTCGTAAACTTGGTCATTTCTATTGCGTGAGCTGAAGACAGAAATTGTTTGCTCCTCTTTCCAGTAGACTGTCTTCTTAGTTTTTGTTTATCAAAACTTTTTTACTTAGTAATGCATATGATGTTGTGAAGTTGTTATCGCTTGTGATTAAGTTTTCTAAGAGGGATATTCTTTTCCTGTGTATTACATTGGAATTCAGGTGAAGTCAGCAACTATACCACAACTTCCGCAGCAAAAGGAGTTATACTCTTGCTTAAGTCCTTACCATGCAAAACTGGTGGGAGAAAGTTATCTGGCAAGGAAAAGGCCAGTTTATGAGTGCACAGATGTTCAGGTATTCCAAGACCTCTCATTGCTTCCCTTCCATTCCCTTTTCTGTCCATTGCCATAGGGGCAACCATGATTTATATTTTGACTCGTCTAACTTGGCCGGTTGCTTCCAACTAAAGCCACTGATATACTTGTTTTATTCCCAGAATAGCATGGTTGAAGCATTTCTAATTATAGATTTGGTGCTTGATTATAGTCTGCGAGTTTGTTGAACTATAGTCTATTGTACCATCCACAACAAAAGAAAAGAAAAAGATATAGAAGGACAAATGAATGCAGTTATGCCCGTTTGGAATTACTTAAGTAGGTTAATTTTAAATGCAATGAAAAGTTATTGTAGTGTCAAAGGCCTAATTTAGACAAGAGGGGTTGCTCTGATGGTAAGCAACCTTCACTTCCAACCAAGAGGTTGTGAGTTCGAGTCTCCCCAAGAGCAAGGTGGGAAGTTCTTGGAGGGAAGGATGTCGGGGGTCTATTTGGAAACAGCCTCTCTACCTCAGGGTAGGGGTAAGGTCTGCGTACACACTACCCTCCCCAGACCCCACTAAGTGGGATTATACTGGGTTGTTGTTGTTGTTGTTGTTGTTGTTGTTGTTGTTGAGCCTCATGAACTTGAATTCGACCTTAGTATGTTGTTTTCTCCTTGTTACGAGGATTCACAATCTTCATTTCCTTCTGAATGTGTGATTCACTTATTAAACCATCTTAATCTTTATCCATTTGCAAATGCTAGTATTCCTTTCCTTCTGAATGGGTAATCACTTATTTGACCATTTCAATCCTTACCCCATTTGGAGATGCTCAATCTGTCTTATATTGTCTCTCCTTTTGACCCAGCACCCAAAATGATTAATGATGATGTAACTGTAAATTGGAGTTCCTCTTATTGGGTAAAAATAGTACCATATTAAGGGCGAGCTTTGAGATTCTTTACTTGTGTGCTTGTAGAAGATGGTTTTCTGCGCTTGGGCAGGAGGGAGTATTAATTTTTATCAGTAACCACTTAGTTTTTGAGAAAAGTCGTAGCTCCACCAGTGGATCCATCTTTGCAAGTTGAATTGTGAATTGGTAGAAATGCTTAGACCGGTGAACTGTTGAGAGATGTTCCATTTCATTTGTATTTGTAGACCTGAATACTTGTTCTTTTATATGAAACATTTACAATCATAAAATGTAAACTGAAGGTATGTAGAGTAGCTATTATCTCTTAAGAGTTTTATTGAAGATATTATCCTGGTCCTTTTATCTTTTCTTCCTTCAGCTATCCCAGGGAGCATTTACTTTTGTGGCCCCTCTTATGCATAAAGAATCTTACTTGAGTTCAATCAATTGATGGCCTATTAGGGAACACTTAGGAATCACAAGTAGTGTTTGTTTGTGCATAATTTTTCGAAGTCTTTACTTTTCAAAAACGTGCTTGTTTAAGCTTTTAAAGTAGTGTTGCAAAATGTGTTTATTCAAAAAACTGCTCTCTTGTTTTAAAAGAAGTGGATTCAGTGTTCAAAGAAAAAGCTCTTTTTGCATTTGCAGAACATTCAACAAATCTTCAAAAAGAATATAACTATTCAACCACGCCTCTTTAACACACCTTTTTTTTTTAATAACTTTTTCCAGAAGTTCATTATTGTTTAAGCTATATCTGGTTGTGTCTTTATTGTTGTTTTAACCATGATATTTTTTTAGGTTGAAGCTGCAAAGTGTTTCCTAGCAGTGTTGCGAACTTACCTGGATTCTCTGTGCTCAAACCTTCGTTCACATACAATTACTAATGTCCAATCAAATGATGATAAGGTTTGTAGCTTCTCCTTGGAGTATTTGATCGCGCTGATTACTTGTGTGAAAAAGTTCTCTTTTTTTAATGTTCTGGTGTTTTGAAGAAAACTAACGAAAGAACCAAGTAAAATTCATTGGCTCAATTAAACTGGACCAAGAAGTTGTACTTGCATTGCTTCAAGGGGTATCTGTAACTTGATTATTCAGAATTAAATGTTGTTTAGACTCTTTGGCAAAACCTGTTACAAATGGCGAACAGTTAAAAATTGATACTTGCGGCGGATACGCCAAGACTCACACTTAACCTGCTGTAAACCGTATGTACCGGTTTATCTATTGCAGAAATTGAAACAGTAATTTAATATTTGAGCAACTTTACATACTAAAATGTAGTAAAGCTTGTTCCTGTTTGAAGCTCTTATGACCAGAGTAACCGTTAACCTGGAGATACACTTAAGTTACAGTATAGTTTGCTAAAAAATAGACATAGTTTCAGATGGTAGGAGTGTAATTTATCCGAAAACTTGCCTATTTTTCTGCTCCATTTGGTGGTGGATGTAAGCATCAGCTTTTATGAAGATTTGCATTGTTAAAGTCTCAGCTTTTGCTTAGTGTGAGCTCTTTTGCTTAACTGGTATGCTAGTTGCTGTTCTTTTCTTTGTTTCCTGTAACAAACATCACAGCTTTTATGAAGAAATACATATGCTTTTCATGCTTACGCTAATTGGTAAAGAAACTTCCTTGTAACTCGGAATTCTTTATCCTACCCTTTTGTTATCAGGTATCTCTACTATTGAAGGAGAGCTTTATTGAGTCTTTCCCAAGTCGAGATCGGCCCTTTATGAAGGTGTGTGCTTATGCTTCCAACTTTTTTCAATTGTTGTTATCTGAAGCCATATAGTTTCGCTTGAAATACTGAATCTGCATTTACGGAAGCTAGAAACTTTTTGTATTATTATTATTATTATTATTATTATTATTATTATTATTATTATTATTATTATTATTATTATTATTATTATTATTATTTAGGGTATCAATTGATGTGATGCAAGCCCATTATAGATTGTAATAATCTTCTCTTGCCACTTTTTCCATATAAAAAATTATATACATTCAAATGTTCGCTTCATCTTAAGGTAACGTCATTTTTGGTTTTCCACAAAGAACATGCTAATCTGTTATTTCTTGCTATTTGGTGAAACAGCTTTTCGTGGACACACAGATGTTTTCTGTACATACAGATTTTGTACTCTCTTTCTTCCAGAAGGAATAGAGCCGAGCCACCATGTGAAGATCCAATTCGTGATGTGATAGTGGAACGCAAGTTCCTGTATCTGTAGCTTGTAGTTTATCGCTCAAAGTCTAATATAGGGGTAAGTTGTGTATCATAGAATATCGATCATTTAATCACTTGTACTGATATCTAACATCAGTCTCGTGTTTTTTTTCTCGATTTTCAACTCAGGCATGCCAAGCAGCCTATGCAATAGAGAACATAAAAGGATGTAGGATAGATTTGTACAGCGAGTGGAGTTCTAGCAAAAGCTAATTTATCTATACTGAACTCAATTCCCTTCATCCTTGTTTAATGCGTGGTAACTTATAGTGAAAACACAACTGTTAGTACTTTCTTTAATTTCTGGAGATGCTTACTATTTGAAATATCAGAAGGTTCTGAGTATGCGATTTCTTGAATTGATTCGTCATTTCACTGCGAGTACGTCCACTCTCTGCTCCTGGTTTGTTCGATTTCTCCTCTGTGGTGGTAAGGGGTTAAAAATCTACTACTTCAATTCCTGCATCAAACTGACAATATTGTGTCCAACTGTATAAAGGTATGTTCCCGTCTAGGCTAAAATATTTGGAGATACACAAAAGGTTTGCTTGTTACTAATAGTCTAGCCTCTCTTCTTCTTTAGATCCCTTGTTTCACTCGATCGTGTCAATGCAGAGGAAATGAAATACATTTACATACTATTTAATATTATAAGTGAACTAGTTTTACAAGCACCTATAGGCCCTACTTTGTCAACATGCGCTTTGAGCACGTTAAAAGTTCGTCCAAAAGTCTTGGCCTTAAGTAATAAACAGGCATTGGGCAAGTTAAACATTTGGTCGATCAGTCAAAAATAATTATATTTGCCAGTTAAATATACAAAAATAAACACTAATTATGTTTAAAAGTATTATATATTAATATATAAAAAATATATATTTTGCCGGCAATTTAAAAAACTCGTCCAAGAGTCGCTCTATGGACAAAAACACTTACTAACGTTCACTTTCATTCCTTTGGTTAGACTACCTGTAGCACATGAAAGCTACAGAAAATGCTGCTTAAAGAAGGATTAGAGTATCAGTGACATGCAAATTTTACAGACAAAAGGGTCATACATCTAAGACAGGTTAAGGATGCTGATATGACATGTTAATGTTGGGAAAAGAGTCAATTCTCAGGTAAAGAAAACCTTAATGAAGTCATTTGCAAGGAGCTGGAGTCAGATGAAAATGGTCCTGCTTTGTCAGACCAGTCTTAAAAACTGATAGGGCCATTTGCAATTGCATGTCTTTTCGAGTCATGTGAAATATTGATTGTTTTTTACGTACTGTTTTGCCAACTAATACTATTTGTGGTTTTAGGAAATTTGACAAGGAAATTTATGAGTTGAAAATATGACTGCCTCTGTTGTGCATGTGTGTGTGTGAGAGAGAGAGGGTAAAACTGCAGTGTCAGTGTTTTGGATGCTTTACTAATGATAGTTTTTGGGGTCTTGTAATGTTAGGGCTTAACCACTGTTAGTAATGTGCATTTGGAGTACACACACTACATAAAAAGTCCTTATTTTTTGGCACCCTGCAATTTCCTTGCTATCACACAAAGGAATACACTCAAAGTTGTTTGGTACGAGAGATAAGATGGGATAAGATGTGAGATTAAATTTATATTGTGTTTGGTTGGATATCTCCAACTAAACAAGGTATAAATTTAATTCCAGATTTAATTCAGAATATTCTATCTTATCCCACTTTATTTCATCAAATGTAGAATTATTTATCCCATCCATTATGTGGTATAAATTAGTTATGGGATTATAATCTCGGGATAATTTAGTTCGCATACCAAACGAGTCCTTAAGTGTAGTTTGGAAGACTTATGTAACGCCTTAGGTAAATCCCAAATTAACAAAACATGGGAAAGATCTCAAAGTGGACAATATAACTAGTGAGTGAGACTATAACAACTAGTTACTTTAATATTTTATGACATGTTTATTCGGACACAAAAATCTCAGAGTTTAAGAAGATTTTTTGAAACTTACGGTTTTAAACATCATATGAGATTTTTGTGGCTAAATAAACATATTAAAACGAGAAGTTTAAAGTTATATTAAGATCCAAACAACAAAAAGGAATAACAATAATAGTTCTGAACTGTTACAGTACAAAATTTTATGTTTCTGTTATACATATGCTAAGATTGTACTCAATGTGTTATTCATCATTAATGTAGAGTCATTTCTGATTATGTAAAATTTTGCAATGTTAACTAAACGATCAAACTAGTACTTTTGATTGGTTTTTTTCTCCTGGTACAATGCAAGTTGCTTGTGTAGGACACTGTGTGGTCAGAGTTATCCCTTTATTAACCCAAATGCATTTGCATTTATTGAACCCAAAATGACACAACAACTCACCCGTATACTTGTCGGAACTGTACACAACACTTTGTATCCCTCTTTAAACAAGTCCGAAACCTAAATAATGACGTCTGGGATATAAAATAAGTTTCTGCAGTTTAAAAAATGCAGTATAATAATATACTTTACTTTAACAAAATTTTAGTCGTTAAAGTAAAACGTAATATGATACTGCGTTTTACTAAAATACAGTATTATACCGCGTTTTACACCTTCAATTTAAAATCCCCCTTTCTTCCCCACCCACGACAGAACACTCCCCTCTTCCATTAAAATACAACAGCGGTCCCTCCTCCCCCCGATTTAAAAAACAATCGAATGGATCCCACCCGTCACACAAAAAGTGAAGATTGTAGGCCTCGCATACAACCCAAGCCTTCGATTGTTGTGGTTTCTGTATTTCGGGCTCAAAATTTCAAATTTCTGACATTTCTAAAAATATAAATCGAGGTATTCCGATTTAGTTTATGTCGAAACTCGTATAATAATGCATATTTGTTGTCTTGAATGTGTTTTCACGTTGTTTTGTGTTTTGTTTGCGATTAAATTTGTATGTTATTTTTATCCGGATTAAATTATCAGTGTTTAAAAAAATAGTTAAAAGTTGAGAAATAATTTTTCTTGCTAATAAAAATGTTCATAAATTTCTTTTACTGTTTTATATGTAATTTTGTGAATGTTATGTTATTAAAATATGCTTGTTGTTTTTATTTAATTTAGATTTTTATTTGCTTAAAGAATAGTGCCCTTTTAGCGTAGTAAAATATAGAGCCTTATAGCGTAGTAAAATATAGAGCCTTTTAGCGTAGAATCTCTGTAGTTTAAGTATCTACTAACTACAAACTCTATCCAATTACACTTTACAAAAATTAATTATTTAATTTATAAAACAAACACACATAACTAACAAATTAATATATGCTGTCAAATTAAATATCGAGCGTGAATATATATATATATACTATGTCCAATTAAAAATTAATTATTTAATTTATAAAACTAACAAAATTGTAAAAATATTAAAATTGACACACATAAGAATTCAGGATAGCTTAGTGCTATTGGGCCTCAAATATCGAGTCTGAAACCTATAAATACATACTCTGTCCAATTAATAATTAAATATTAATTATTATAACACAAATAAAATTATAAAAATATTGAAATTGACACACATAAGAATTCAGGATAGCTTGGTGCTACTGGGCCTCAATATCGAGCCAGAAACCCATAGATATATACTCTTTCCAATTAAATAATTAAATATTAATTGATAAAACTAAGACACAATTAATATTGTTTAATTTACAGTAGACGACATGGACGTGCCGCCTGTGCATCCTGGACCTATCTCGGATGAGATATTAGTGTTATAGGGCGATCATATGTCCGCTTATGTATGTGAGGGAGGGATAGTGGAGCAGACTCTCCGTGCCAGGAGAGTGGATGGCGTGTGGGATTTTATCAGGGAGAGAGGTTTCCATTCCCGCGTAGTCCAGCATTTGCGTGATACAGGCTTCTATAGGATTTTTGAGATTGGTCGGCTGCAACTCGAGTGATCTCTGATCACGACATTGATAGAGTGATGGCGATCAGAGACGCACACATTTCACCTGCCTATTGGCGAGGCCAACTGCTGCAGCTTTAGGGGCAGTCGCATTTCTATGACAACTATTTGACAGCATTTGGAGGTATTGCACCCCGACATCACCGGCGAGACTGAGGATCTACATATTCATCGGTACACGAGGTTGGTGCTGCTCCTTCTTTTTGGGGGTGTCTTGATACCGAGCATTTCGGGAAATCTAGTGAGTATGGGATTTCTACATCATCTTCAACAACTAGATGAGTTACCCCAGTACAGCTGGGGTGTTGCTGTTCTCGCTTGCCTGTACAGGAGTATGTGCCGGGCTAACATGGGTACCCAAAGCGACGTATGTGGTTTTCTGTCGGTTCTACAGGTGACAACATATTCGAATACTCTATTCATTACTTCCAATTCTATATAGTCAAAATGACTCTTAAATTTTCCGTCGACCTTGTATGTTAGGTTTGGGCCTGTGAGCGGTTCCTGCCATTGCAGCCACCTCTACCACTATTACCTCCGGATGTAGCACCTCCGTTACTCCCTCTAGCTCAGAGGTGGGTTATCCGGCGTGGAAACTACCGAGCTATTGATACTCATCATAATCTCCCCTTTGTCAGGGATGTGTTGGATATGCTGAAGGCCGCACAGGTAAATATGTACCTAAACTTACTTGTTATAAATTCACTTATGTTGCGCATACTCATTTTTATGTTATTATTTGATAGTTCATCTGGATGCCATACAACAACGAGTTGATAGCTGGCCTGCCCGATTATTGCTCGGTCGACCGACTGATTTGGAGCACTTTCGTCCCGCTAATGTGCCTCGATATTGTGGAGCATCATGCCACAGAGCGGGTACTTCACCAATTTGACCGTCCGCAGACTATACCGAGGGAGCCTACATGGGAGGCTACACATTATCAGCGGGATGATCGTTCGAGGGTGAACGACGCATTTGTAGCATGGCTAGAGGCGTAAGTCCATACTTGGGAGCAGCGAGAGGACCTGATTCCGCCACCACCTTCACAGATCCGAGCTGCGACTATTGAGATGTATATGTCATGGTATCGCCGTCACACCCGACTGATGATCGGGAACCCCATTAATCAAGCTGGCGGTCGGTTCATACCATATGCCGAGAGGCATTGGTATGTTTCTATCGGAACCCATACTTATAACTGTGATATAGCGTTATGTAATTAATATTTTAAATGTTGTGCAGGCTATTGGTTATCATTTATTCTACCGGTTGGGACTGGAGATGCAACAACATGCCGACAATCCTGCAGTCCCTAAGTATGGCCGGCAGGTAGTAGAGGTAGCTCTCCGGACACTGCAGTGAGCCAGAAAGGACGAGAGGTTAGATCACGATGCTGAGTATGTGGCGCCAAAACAACACCATCGGGGTAGGTCTGTCT